CTTTTGTTATTCTGATGAGTTTGTGTACAGTAAGTTCCTGGAATTTTTTGATTAATAAAAATTGATGTTTTTCTAACTTAGCCCTAGAGAATTTTCATTTCGATTTACTATCTGTTTAATGTCTTTTTTATCTGTTTAGATATCTACTGGTATAACATAACTTTGTAGGCAGAGGTGATATATTATTATCTATTGTTATGAATATCAATTGAATTCCACCTCCATGTGAAGTTTGTAGGAAGTGGTAGTTAGTATAACTTTGTTCAAGCTGGTGAAACAGTTTGGAAAATTTAGGAAGTATTGGATATTTTGAAATTTTCAATCAAAATCATATGGTTGTGTACAGCTGTGAATTATATTAATAAGTTGATTTTTTATCTGTCTCCTGACTTTCTGTGTAGTTGATAACTGTGACTTATAGAATGGTTTGTTTTATTAAAAGCCCACCCCCCCAACCCCCTCACAATTTTATCATTGAGTTCTTAAATGCCTGGTTCTGTTTGCCCCCCCTTCCTAGACAATTCTGTGGCCCCTGCTCTGCCCCCTTCACCCAATGATTCTACCACTGCTGACATAGTTCATCTCCTATCAGTTGTCCAGTTGTGTATCAGACACGCAGGGTAATTCTGTAACTCCTGATAAATGCCCCGTATATCGTGTTTCAAAATGATAAGAGAATTATTAACCCTTAGCCATCATAGATTAGAAAATATAAAACATACTGATAAAAACATATAATAGTAATATAAAACGTGTGTTGAAATCAATATAGTTCAATACTAGTAAATACTATTGTTACTGACTGGGTTAAGCAAAGGGGAGGGGGGGAGGGGGCATTAATGTTTTTACTCGGGGTAGAGTTAGGGGGCGTATAATAGTATTCAATACTATGTTACTGAACTGGATTAGGGTAGAGAGGGGGAGGTTATTATTTGGGGTAGAGATAGGGCACCATAAATACTGTTTTATACCTGTATAAACTAACAGGGCTAGCCTGTGGAGTGGGGGTTATTATTAGGGTTAGGGATAGGGCACCGTCAATAATGTTTTATACCTGTATAAACTAACAGGGCTAGCCTGTGGAGTGGGGGTTATTATTAGGGTTAGGGATATGGCACCGTCAATAATGTTTTATACCTGTATAAACTAACAGGGCTAGCCTGTGGAGTGGGGGTTATTATTAGGGTTAGGGATATGGCACCGTCAATAATGTTTTATACCTGTATAAACTAACAGGGTTAGCCTGTGGGGTGGGGGATATTTGAGATAGAAATAGGGCACCATCCAAACAGATGTTGTATACTATTATTACTAAATAGGTTTGTGACATTATCTGTATAAATATCTACTTGACACTTGGTATATCAGCCAGGACAGGTTGACAGCCAACTTAGAGGGGGTAAGAAAAGTTATAGCTAAGTCAACCTACAGTATCTGTATAAATATCTACTTGACAGTTGGTATATCAAGTTAGCCAGGACAGGTTGACAGCCAACCTAGAGGGTGTTAAAAAGTTATAGCTAAGTCAACCTACAGTATCTGTATAATATCTACCACCAGTCAGTTATATTATTAAGCTAGTACAGGATAGGAGGATGAAACTGGTTGAATTAGCCAACCTAGAGGGTGTAAAACAGTTATAGCTAAGTCAACCTACAGTATCTGTATAATATCTGCCACCAGTCAGTTATATTAGTAAACTAGAACAGGATAGGAGGATATTTAACATGGTGGTGACATTTAGTTATTCTACATGGTGTTTTATTGAATTATATGATATCATTAATAGTGGAGACCGATCTTATGTTTTTATGGATATACTGTCTTTATTACAAACCTTTACATCCACTAAGTTGGCTTAAAGTTAGTTCAGGACAGGACGATATTTATCATCATGGTGACATTTGGTTATTCAATTGAATCATGTGATATCGAATAGTGGAGGTGTATCTTTATGTCTTAATTACAATCCTTTACACCCACTAAGTTGTCTAAATATTACCTTGTGGAATTCGCTGTAAGTAGGACCTTCGTTTTAGGTGTTTTAACTTACTTCAGGTTTTAAACTTGGCTTGCATTTTGAGAGTCCACAATCTGATTTGCATCTCTTTTAGGCAGTATATATTTATTTGGTATTTAGGTTTGTCAAATCTGCATTTCTTTCAGAGAGTCCACATAGCTCATAATGTCTTGCCTGTATCTCTTACAGAGAGTCCACATAGCTTCATCATGTTTATTTGGTATATAGGTTTGTCAAATCTGCTTCTTTTTTGCAGGGAGTCCACATAGCCTATAGTGTTTGTTTATTTTCCAATTAGATTTGTCAACTCTGCATCCCCGTCAGAAAGTCCAGAGCTAAAAGTGTTTTATTAGTATGTAAGATTATCTTCTCTGTATCCTTTACAGAGTTCACATAGTTAATAATTTATTATTAGTATGTAAGATCATCTTCTCTGTATCCTTTACAGAGTTCACATAGTTAATAATTTATTATTAGTATGTAAGATCATCTTCTCTGTATCCTTTACAGAGTTCACATAGTTAATTATTTATTATTAGTATGTAAGTTTGTCAAGCTCTGCATTGAAAAGTCATTTTGACACCTTTCAGAGAGTTCGCATTGTTTAAAATGTTTTTTTTGGTATTTATGTTTTTCCAATAAGATTAAGATGAAATTTCTTGATTTTCTCAATTCTTCCGTCAATTTTCACGCAATTCTATTCATTTTATTATCCTGTTCGTTTTCTTATCTCACTGATTTTATTCACTTTAATTTACTGATTGATTCTGAAGGTATTTATTCCTTTAAATTTCTGTCTGAGAATTATTTGAAGTGATACAGTCGTCTAAATATCAAGATATAGAGCCCAAGTTTTATCAATTATTAGATTTAAGACTTGGTATCCCTTTCAGAGAGTCTACATAGCTAATATTGTTTATTTGATATTCAAATAGTTGTGTAAATATCAAGATATAGAGCCCAAGTTTTATCAATTATTAGATTCAAGATTTGAAGTTTGAAATGATGACCTTCTCAAGGTCGTTCTAATTGGGTTCAAGTTTTCAGATCACGGTCCAAGCTCAACTGAGTTTTATATAAAATTGGGAAGATAATAGAAATTAATTTATTTTTCCTTCTTGTGCATTTCTTCAAAATTTATTTTAATCCAGCATTAGATTTTTATTCTGATCAATTCTTCAGTTGGTTTCATTTATAAATAGAGATTTAGATGAATACATCCCTTCAGTTATATCAGCTGGTGAAAGAGAATCTGTATCCCTTTAAGATATGTGATGTTGTCATGTATCAAGTTTGGAGGGAGAATGTTTAGAAGAGTTATCTCAAGTCATGAGGGAGTTGATCTTCACGATAGTTTTATGATATATCTAATGTTTTAACGCTGATATCAGTTTCTTCTCCAGTATCACTATCTCCCATAGTGACATTTAAACTCTCTGATTGGATTCCACGTTTTTTTTTTAGTGTTTTAGTAAATTGAGAAAGAAAGAGAGAGACCAAGTTTTCAGGTGTCTAAATTTCACAAACTTAACTTACCATGATTTTAGTGTTCCAGTCATCTGATTATTCTATGCAAAAATCAGTTCTTATCTCTTAAATCCTTGATAGTAAAATCTTTACAAGGAAGAAAATTCCCTCAATCAAAAATCAATGGCAAAATCGGGAGTAAAAGTTGTATTGTAGTGGACTCCTACAAAGAGAAGTACCATCAGGTGTTTTGAAAAGATTAAGTATAGTCTGCTTCACTACTACAATGGTACAAATCATGAGATTTATGCATCTGATTACCCCAGAATCTTCAACCTATGAATTGATAATAAAGCTGTAAAAGATGTGATATAGCTAGGAGGGTTTTGGTTGTCTTGTTAAGGATACTAGTTAATAAATATATTAGTTGTTGATTCAGGTTCGTTTAAAAACTTTATTGCTCGTTGTTGCATCACCAATTCTTTTTGTTTGTTTTAAAAATGAAAGTAAGACTAGTTTATTGATTGCTGGTAGACTTTCAGTAAGGTTTATATCATTTTCACAGTTCCTCTCTACTATCATCATCTTGTATCTGTATTGGTTTTTGATGAATGATCTAAATGGATAAGATGTCTCTGGTTCTTGCAGTTTAATTTAAACTAAACCTTTTACGATGTCACTATCACAAAAGTTGCTTTTAATATCTAACTTAAATAGTTAAAACATCAAACACTTTGTTTTAGTGGAAATGCAGGAACCGCAGACGTCTGATTGAGTTCAAATCAGAGTTAAAATGTCTGTCATCAATGTCCTTGAAACACCTAAAAAGTGTAGACAATTTTTCTATTCACATGTTGTCTATTGATTAAGGATGTTATCAGATGAAATTTGTCCTAGAGACTGGATGTTCTGAGGGAAGGATTGATGGTATTCATAGATTAAGCTGCTGTGTGGGTGTATGTACAACATTCTGTGTTTATTTAATCAATATTTTCTATAAGAAAATGTGAGAGCTTTCAAGTAATTTTAAATGTCTTTGATTTTTTTTTTACAAGGACCAGATTGTCAGTGTTTCCCTGTGACATTAAAATAACGTAAAATAAACCTAACATTCAATAATCTTGACTCATTAAGGAGTTTGTGGATTTGATTGAATAGGAATACCACCTTAGGTGACAACATTTGTGGACTCATTTTTGACTCATTTGTGGACTCATTTTTGACTCATTTGTGGACTTATTTCGGACTACTGTGATCAGTAACTTGTCAAATTCAAAGTGGTTTTTGTTAAAAATATTTTATCTTCAATAAAGAACTGACTATGTTATACTGGATTATATTAAGTGCACGTCTGAAAGTGTCAAAAATATAAGATTTTTAACCTTGGGAAAATAATTCATATTAGAGTTTAATTGTTCTTTCAAATTAGAGAGTGGAATAAAGTGTTCTAGAATGTTCTTTAGAATTACATAGTGGATTAATTGCGTGGATTTAAGCGTAGAATAATTACAAAATGTCATCCCCAAGATTAAAACGAATGACAAGTGAGCCTGGAGCACGGAGTATCGAAATATCCAAGCTCGGAAGTTATAGCAGAAATATACCTATGTCAGAAGATGATGAAAATTCAAATTCAGCCTATCGGATTCCAGGATTTTCAAAAAATGTGAATTATTCTCCAATCAGAAAGCTTGATAGAGATTTAAAATTGTCTCCAGGAAGACGAATGGATGTAAATTTAAAATCGCCACTCCGAAAGCTGGATAGTGACGAATATAGCGTGTTTTCTGCCGAAAGTGAAAAGTCGCTCGAAGATCTTGGAGAAAATCGTAAAGATGCTGAACCTCATCATCTATGGGGTCATCGTCAATGGTCGTCCAACGGTCGAAAAACTAGCTCCACCCCTAATGTAAAAACTGACACGGATGATACTGAAAAAGAGGCTGAAGTGATTCCTGCCTTTCATAAACGGTTAATTTTAGCGAAAATAACTCGAAGATCGTGGCCGATTCGTTCTAACAGTCAGACACGGTAAGTTGGACACAATTTCTAAATTCATTCATCGTTGGTGTTTGAAAAAAAAAACTATCCCAGATAGAGCTGATTCAAATTTATTACATAATGATGTCTTTAAGCTTCTCAACAATGTAGACAATATAATACAATGAAATTGTAAAAAGTGACTTCAAAAAACAACTTGAAGTCCTAAAATAGCCATCCTAGAAAGTTCTGATTCATACATTGGGCTCTTAACAACCGAACATAATAGTTCAATCAGCAAATGTCAAGTGTTGCTTTCAAAGAGCTTCAACCTAATCATATTATAAACAACCCACACTGTCTTTTATTCTATTTTATATCATCATGATATTAATAATAATAACATTTAATAATCAGACCTACCATTATTTTCTCAATTTCATTGAAAATACTATCCTGCCTATTCAGGCGAAAGAAGAAAGCGAAATTCCCAGTATGAGTTATATTTGCAGGGATTATTCGTGCAGTTCTAGTACCTCTGAAGACTATTTACATAGACCCAAATCAACCCTGAAAATGGCGAAGCATGACCTTTATTGTTTCCATCAAGCGTTCCATGTGCAGATCATTACTTGTAATACATACAGGCAGAAAATCATATGCAGTGTACAATGAGGGAAACTGTTTCAAAACAGCATGAATATTCATTAAATCATGCCATTATGTCATATATCACAAAACCAATTTATCAGAAAACTTGAAAGATCAGTGAGAAGCCTTAAAACTTCACTATCAATTTCTAGAAGACTTATTATTTTTATTTAAACTCTTAAAAATTGAGAAAAAAAAGTTATTTGATATTTGACATGCTATATTATTAGAAAGAGATTAAATTTCATAAGAAAAATATGTCAAACCAAGGAAAGAATCCGTCAGTTTTTGACAGTAATTTGTCCCATCGGAAGATTGTTTTTATCTTAGACCAAAACACCTCATTTTGGCATCAGGTCCTCAGACTTTTGCTCTGATTATGTCTGAGACTTGACAATTAGTCTTGATGAAAAAATCTTGGTGACTAACAGGAATTAGAGTTCTATTACATAAAGGACACAATTTTATGGTATACTACTCCTTAGTTTTATTACACACTACGTTTCAACAATCTACATTGTCATCTTCAGTTTATATGGCATACTACTCCTGAGTTTTATTACACACTACGTTTCAACAATCTACATTGTCATCTTCAGGTGAAGTGAGGAAATATGGTACAAGAAGGTATATTATATACCCCTAAATGTAGCCAAAGGATTAGAGTTCTATTGCAGTCTCTATATATTTTGTGGTTTGATTTAGTGAGGATCTGTCCTTGTATTTTTGACAGTAAATTTAGTCATATATTGATGAAACTTCTGCAACCATGTCATATTGATAAAACTTGTCAGGAAATACTGTGTAAGTAGAACAACAATCATCTCTATACTAATTCTTATTGACAGGTGCTCTGGCTGGAATAATCCCTTCTTGACCCTGATTAGTTACTAGCCAATCATATGCTAGTATTCATCAACCCATTACAGTTTCAACCAATCATATGCTAGTGTTCAGAAACCTGGAAATCTAGATGGAATAATCATTTCTTGACCTTTATTAGTTACTAGCTAATCATCTTACAATTACATTTTACCAAGACTAGCTGTTAGTTATAAACCAATCAGATGTTAAAATTTGTCAACCTGTTACAGTATCAACCAATCATATGTTGGTGTTTGTAAACCTGTTTAAGCATCAACCAATCATATGTTGGTGTTTGTCAACCTGTTTCAGCATCAACCAATCATATGTTGGTGTTTGTCAACCTGCTTAAGCATCAACCAATCATATGTTGGTATTTGTCAACCTGTTTCAGCATCAACCAATCATATGTTGGTATTTGTCAACCTGTTTCAGCATCAATCAATCATATGTTGGTATTTGTCAACCTGCTTAAACATCAACCAATACAAAATTTTTAGTTCAAGTTTTTTAAAATGTAGAAATAATTTTTGGAATGTTCTAGACATATGCTGACCGAAATTAAAAGCCCTGACCGTCATAAAAAGAACTGTAGAAACCTGTTGCAGTATTTTATAATGAGTCTGTATTGTATCAACAATTAGCAATCATCAGGCAGACGCGAACATAAAATAATTTTACAATATTTTTATGATTGAAAAATAACAGCAGAAGTAAATGCACCATCTGTTTTTATTATAATGGTTGCATAATCACATGATGAACTTTGTCTCCTAGTTTTATGACACGATATTTGTTTTACACTTTCTGCTTTCAGATTTATTTGATATTATATGGAACAAGTGTCTAGTCATTCGAATCGGACAATAAACTGAGGCCTGGTTTGCTACAGGCTGTACATGTTAAAGATCTCTTATTGACAAAGAGCAGCTTAAGGTCCTCAGACCAGTTGGTTTCCTAGACTCCCCACTGGGGTAAATCTAGGCTCTCCCAGCTTGTTCTTGCCTTCACCTTACCTACATACATTGTATGTATACCACCCCTCAGGCATCCACCCACAGACTTCTACCCCCCACACTTCCACCTCCCACACTTCCACCTCCCAGTCATCTACCCCTCAGACATCACCAAGACAGGGCAAAGTTGAGAAGTGTCTGAATACTTTCATATCATATACTATTTCTAGAAAAGCAGTCTAATTTAGTTTAGCTACAATACTAAAATTCTAACATGGCTGCTTATAGCTACTGACAACTGTGCTTGAATCAGTTTTCTGCAGTCAGAATGAGACTAGAGTATACCAAACTCTCGTGTCTAACTAGCTAGTAGATTGTTTGGTACAATGATAGTTTTCTGTAGTCAGAATGAGACTAGAGCATACCAAACTCTCGTGTCTAACTAGCTAGTAGATTGTTTGGTAAAATGACAGTTTTCTGTGGTCAGAATGAGACTAGAGTATACCAAACTATCTTGTCCAACTAGCTTGCAGATTGTTTGGTACAATGACAGTTTCCTGTGGTCAGATTGGGATTAGAGCATACCAAACTATCATGTCTAACTAGCTAGTAGATTGTTTGGTACAATGACAGTTTTCTGTGGTCAGAACATTATCAATGCTGCAGGGAACTGAACTGTGCTTGGTACAACAACAGAATGATAGTGTCAAAGTGCAATTTTGCTTCAATCAAACAGGACCTGTAACTGTCAGAATCTACAATCTAGTCTGCAATCAAACAAGGCCTCATACTCACAAAGTGACAATCAACTTCTTTCCTACTTCACGTGACTTCCTCACTCTCGACATTTTACCCTGAGGCTTAAAAACCTTACAGTATTATCTGATGTTTCCAGTATTATTCAATTAGTGGAGAGCAAATTACGAAGGCCATGAAAGTCAACTCAGAGTTTATAGACATGACAGTCAGGATGACAGAAAATAATTCAGTTATCATTCTGATGTTCAGAACCTTCGACTATTGGGGTAATCAGAGACAACTGACTGAAGATGTCACTTTGCTAGAGCCACAAAAACTAGTTTTAGACTCGGCAAGGAACATAAGTGTGAGGTTATGAATGGACAAGTAGGTGATAGAAAATAATTCAGTTACCATTGTGATGTTCAGAACCTTGGGCTATTGAGGTAATCAGAGACTGCTGACTGAAGATGTCACCCAGCTAGGGCCAGAAAAGTGAAAGACAATAATCAGTTACCGTTCTGTACCTTTAGCTATCTGGTCATCAACTATTCCTACTAAAGATGTCACCTAGCTAGGACCAGGAAAACTAGTCCAGGAAACAATGACAGGGGAGTAGCTTGGCTGAAAGGGACTAATTGAGTCTCTTAGCAGAAGTTTTATTACACAAATGTTATAAATCTAAAATTCATGTAGGCTTACACCAAAATAAACTTTTATAGTAAACAACTTTGAAAGTTTAATCCTTCAAACTTAGAGAAAACGTTTTCTAAGACAAAATATCAGCATAATGTTTGTGACAGTAAGCTACAAGATATTTCCTGTCTGTCTTCAGAAAACACAAATAGAGAAGCTTTTGTTCACTTGTTGGCAGAATTTTTTTTACATTAAGAACATTGGTCGATTAAGATTTTATGAAATACATTTACGTAGAAAAAGGCTGTCTCAGACGAAAATCAGCTTAATGTGTGTGAAAGCAAGCAGCAGGATATTTTCTTGTCTTCTGCCTATGTTCATGGAACGCAAATATACAGTCTTTTGTTCTCTTGTTAGCATCATATAAGGTTTCCATTAATATTGTTTTATTCAAATTTCATCAAATTCATTTACTTAGAAATCTGTCTCAAACAAAAATCGGTTTATCTGTTTATTGAATCAAGTATCATCTTACTACTATTCATCAGTCAATAAATACGTTATACTATTACATTGATTTGTTAATAACTTTGTCAAAAACAAGACGATGTTTAAAATAAGTCACCATAAGTTCTTTCATAGTTTTTCTTTTAGATTAATTCAATAATATTCTAAACTATTGACTATAAAACAATGAATAATTCAATCAATGATCAAAAGTTTAGTTCTTCATGAGGCCATGTCCCAGCTTTGGTTTACGAAAATCTGTTTAATGGTAAAGGTAACAGGTTGAGTATAAAGGATATCAAAGGTGTAAATGAGAGCTATAAATGTATTCAATACACATACAGAATCTCTTTTAAATACCTATAAAATATGATCAAACAGGAGGATGTAAAACTCCATTTATTTCATTTTCATTTTATAATAATTGATCAAAAGGTAAATATCGTCAAGGCAATGACAAAACTTTGACAACATCTGAAACTTTGATAACCAAAACACAGTAAGATAAATTTATATGTCCTCTGGATATTTGAAATATGTAACGAAAGATGGCCTTTTATTTCTATTGATTTTACGTTGACTAATCTATTAAAACTACAGCAAGGAAGTGTTTCTCTGTTTTTAAAAACACGATTTTAATACCTATCCATCACCCTACATCCTGTCAACTGTTGATAGGTTGCATGATGCACGGTTCATTTCTTAAAGAAAAATGGTCCAAAACATTCAAGGACCTTTGCATTGCGTTGAGTTGTATGCTTTTATGAAAAATTTTTCACAAAGAGTCTTATTTTGCATTTAAAAGGATACTACCTCTTACAATAGACTTAAAATTTAAAGTCTCAAACTTTGTCAATGAGAGTATATATTCATCAGATGGACTTACCAGGTGTCATGACTAAAGAATAGAATCTCTATATAACACAATATATCTATTAAACTTAATAATTATTGAAAAACTCTTCTAAGCATGTTTCAAAATTACTTAGTTTTATGGATTTTTTGGATTATAGAGAGATTCTGTTGTATAGTTATGACACCAGATAAGTCCACTGATGAACAGAGACTCATGTTAGCCAAGTTTTAAAATTTTAATTTTTTGGTCATCCTAAGAGGTAGTATATCTTTAAGCTAACTTAATGATAGA